CACCCCAAGAGACACCAAGGACGCGAGCCAAGTCGGCCCTGGCGGCAGGGTAGCGGCATCCAAAGCTGCGTCCCGACTGCGTGTGTGTGTGTGCTTGCTTGCGTGGGTGAGCGCATGTGGTGTGCCCGACCCCTGCTTCACATAAGGAGCAAGGTCCGCATTCTCCGCGCTTTGGGGTTTGGAGAAGCGCACAGATGCCCAGATGGACGGGCTTTCCCCGCAACGGTCACGGTGGGAGGGCGACCCGTCTCCAAAACTCTTCTAGAAAATGCCTTTGATATGACTCGTCGAGCGCCGATGACCGCGGGTTTGGATGCTTCGCTGACCAAAAGGACGGCCAGAAAACCACGCTCGCAAGCGCGCCCCCCCCATCGGCCCATGCATCCATGTCACTACACGTTTGCGTGGAGCCGAGTTGCCCCAAAGTAAAGTGCTTGTTCGGGCTTGGTCTTTGGGCTAACGCACTTCACGATGGAGAACCCGACGGTTTCCCAAACTCAACTCGTAGGGACGCAGCGCGCCGCCGGCCGGTGGGTCCAGGTCGGACCGTTTCGGGACTAAGTCGACGGGGCCAGCCCGCGCGTGCAACTGCCGCTCGGCCATCTTCCGTGAGGCGACTTGCACGCCGCCCGAGGACTTGCTGCACTTTTGCGCCCGCGGAGCCTTCGCAATCGAGTCATAGGCCCCGGTCTGCTCCGGTTATTGTTACATGGGAGATGTGAACCCGACAGGAGGAACCTGACGATTCCTGACGACAAGGTCTGGCCCATCGGGCCTCGACCGATGGTTCGCTGCTCGGTTCAGCGCCATCAGGCCCGTTTCTTCCCCTCATTGACCCCGGCGCAAAGAGATGGACTTGGTCCCGTGCTAGATGGGCCCCCCGTAGTATAAGCTCGCTATCCATCTTGGCCAACCAGAACAATGCTTACTATGCTGTAAGACGCTGCTGATTCGTGAGCTCGACAAGGACCATCTCGCCCGGTTTCTCAACTCCGGCTGCCCTGACCACCACAGCCACCCCCAGGTCCCCTAGCGAAACGAATGGCCCTTCCACCCCAAAGTCCCCACGGAGAAAGCTTCCTTCAACGGAGACCGTATGGGGAAAACTGGAGAGGGATATCTAAGCGCTCAACTTGCAGCTCGTGCTGCTGGTGGTGCTTCCCACACACCCACTGGCACACACTTGGTCGAAAATGGCAAGACTTGATTAACCCTCAACAATACGAAATCTCTTACAAACGCCAACAGAATCCACTCGTCACATGGCGGAGATAAGTGGAGGATGTCTTCCCCGTCACACTAAATCGCAGATTCCCCGAGCAGCCTCAGTCTCCCAGCCACTCAGGACCAGGTCGTAATTACGACTTTGTGGGGATCTGTGACTTGTAACCTTGGCCTCGTACGATGTGCAGTACGCGGCAGCAGCATTGCCATAGTCTTACAGAATGTGTTGGTCAAAGCCTTTACTTGGTGATGGTTGAGCTCGTCTCGTCACACCCACCGGCCTCGGGGTTCAGAACAACATGCGAACCCGAATGATCGACGATTCCAAATCCTGTTTTTTTTGCACGCTCGCTTCCGGAAATTGCTGCAATACTGCGATTCATCTCACGTAACAACGCTCCTTGGCATGGCATTCTTCTAAATAGGTATTTACCAGGGAGATCCCGAACTGTTCACTTACTCATCCGCCGCCAAACGTCCCCTCCACATGCCCTCAGTGCACTTCTCGTAATGGCTCCCGCCGAACGCGATAACCCACTCCGCTGCGAAGGCGTCGTCAAAGACCTTCAGCAGCATCATCTGTTCCGGGTCCTCGTCGGCGCCGCAGACCTCGCACGGCGCGTTGACGGTGCCCTGGTCTTGAGAGGAAAGCGTGGCAATGTTCTTGCACGAGCCGAAGAAGCACACGCACTGCTCGTTGATGAGCGCGCACACCTGGCGTCGCGTCACGACGACGTGCGTGCCCCTGCACCCGCTCCGCGGGGTGCCCTCTGCCGCGGCGGTGCAATTTGCGGAGGCAATCCACTGGATGCACATGATTAGCTTTGGCGTTCTGGGATGCTGTTTGGTGAGTTTTTAAGATTAGACTTTGGTTGTTCTGCTAAATTGTCGCTTGATGCGTTGTGGACTTCCAGCAACCAGGACATGCCGGTCACTATGAGTCACTTAAATATCGAAGGCAATGAATACTCATCTCTTGTGACTCGAAACGCCCTCGCTGTAAGATGTGCAGAATCAAAGCCTTTGTCACGACAATGAACGCCGGCCATACGCAATGTCCTCCTGCACCGTCGACTTTCATGCGCCTTGGTTCGGAAACACATGCTAAAATACCTTTTTTTGTTTCAGTGTCCAAGAACAATCAAGTCACAAACGATAGCAATTCGCTATGCCAGCCATCTTGTTCTCATTGTTTTAACTTTGTGTTGTTCGTGTTTCCACGTCTTATTGGGCGGACCCGACGTTCGCACCAAGGCGCCAAGACATCTTGGCAGCCGTCGTTCCAAGCCACTTGGCATCGCCAAGGGGGGCTCCAGCCAGAGCCTCAACTCCCCCAACCCTCATCAATATATCGCCAGTGTCCAATTCTTCCAGAATCTCAATACCCGACAGGATGCGGCGGCGGCATCCTCCCGCAACCTAAACCGAACATGCGATGAACCACTGGCAACCCTGGCCGCCTGTAGCCTCGGTGCCGTGTAGCCGTCCCAGACGTCCAACCCGCGCCGGGGAATCCTCCTCCACGAGGAAATTTCTCCGGACGTGTTAGTCCATCTTTCCCCCCAGAACCCCAGACGAGGCTGGCATTGGGTATCCCTTTGAACGGGGGTCAGACAGCCAACTCGCTGGCTCCCATCCGAATCAGGAACACAACCCTGGCCAGTCGTATGTAGCACCACGGCATGTGACTTGTGAACGCAAGCAGCTCACGCACCGCCGCCTCCAACTTTCCCCAACTCCCCCAAAAGACCCCTTGCCCTCACCGTCCTCTCATCGTCGTACCCCGCAAACTGTATCATTTTCTCCACCGCCATCTTCGCATACCTCCTGCCCGTCTCGGCCTCGCCCATGTGCGCGTACACCCGCGCGACTATGCCGTAAAACTCGCCCGCTTGCGCCGCGAGACCCTCCCGCTCCACGACGTCGTCCAGCTCGCCGGCTAGCTCCGCCACCAGGGACGGCGTCATGAACGCCGGGTCCGTCATCTCGGCGAGGATTTCTTGCAGGCGCGTGCGGTACGTGTCCGAGACGGCCACGTCGTCGGGAGAACTGCAAAGCGCGCAGGTACAGTTGAAGCCCCATTCCTGGAGGGTCTGCTTGCGGTCTTCGGAGAGCATGTTTAGCATCGAGTCTGTTTCTGTGTTAGATGGGTAGGAGAGCCAGGGCTGAGGGTTCGAGGGTTCTGACAGCTGATGCTTAGTTCCTCACCGGGCTGGATATCCTTATAGGCCACGACTTCCAGCTCCAGGGTCCGGGGAGAAAATCGGGTGATTGCGCTAGAACCAGGTAAGCAGACGTCTTTTGTGTGGCGCCACTCTTCTGGACCTACTTTGGCTTACACGCGTGGTTGATTCTCTGCCGGCTGTCAGTGAACCTTCAGCTTACGCTCGCAACAGATGTCTTACCGCGACTCTCGGGAAAAGCCCAAAATGCCCGACACTGTTAAAGGTCGCGCCGAAAGTGTTGGTTCGGATGATGTCTTCGAGCACATGCCCGCCGGTGCTTCTGGAGAGATCAAAGACTCGCCGCTGATCCTCTATCGGCAGCCGAATGAAGCCTTCCTCCAGGACCCAGAGGGCCTGCATCCGATCAACCGGCTCGGAAACCTGAGCCAGCTGTAAAAGCACTGGGTACTCCCTCAGAATGACGTCTCCCGCGCGAATCGCTGCTTTTGCCACGGCCCCCAAGCCCTTTCCCGGCATCTCCTTGACCTCGAAGGGCGCCACGTCGAAGGGGGTGGACTCTCGTTCGGAGTTGAACCACTGCGGATTGAAGTCTTGGACAATACTATAGTCGCCGGCCGCGATCTCTGGGCTTGTGATGACGAGGAGGCCCGCCTCTCCGCGGAAGTCCTCCTTGACGAAGGCGCAATAATCCGGACCCGCCTTGGTTTTCGGGCTGACGCATACAGGCTGTTGTGTCCAAGGACTCCAATCAGAGGCGCCGGATGCCTTCTGCGGATTGTATGCCGCGCGGCAACTTTCAAGGAGGTTGAGCGGTCCGGAAGGGTTCCAAGGACATTGGTTGCCTGCATTGCTGCTCCTGAGAGCTGTGGAGGGTACGACGAGCACCGCCACGAGCAATGCCAAGTAATCGAACGTAGACGAAGCAAGCAGGCCCATCGTAGCAATTCGGGTGGTCCAAACCTTAGAAACACAACAGACCGTGGTTTCCAGGTTTCCCTGTTTCTCGGGGCTGGGCGGTTTTATTGCGCACCAATACATCACCCGCCGAAAAGAACACGCTACACCCTCGTCCGCATTCCATAACGGTGTGGTTGCCGCCGTCCCCCTACATCAGAATAAGCATCGGATTTAGCCTCAGCCCGTAATATCGAGACCCCAAACCCCCATGCGGCGATCGTTGCTCGGCGCAGAATCTTGCTAGTCTGAGAGGGGTTCCCGCCCTCTAGGGCCGGAGCATCGCAGGCCGCAATGCCAAGTCCGCCAAGATGCTTGGTTTTTTGGAGAAGCTGGCTTGGTGAAGAAACAAAAGTATGGCAACTCCAGGGCCGCCCCGAGTCAAGAGGGGAACCTTGTAGTCCAGGTTACTTGGCGTGGCCTCTTTTGGGCAGCATGTTGGGCTTACGATGAGTGGAATTAGACGCATGGGCAACTTGCCTCACATAGGAAGCATCGCGATGCTTGGCATAAACGTATCACCGACTGGCTAATTCCAGACGAGTAAACGCCTGTTCAAAGCCAAAGCTTTGCTTGGGTTTCGAGTAAGAAAATGAGCAAAAAGAGAGGATTGCTAGTTCAATCGCTGACGGGAATTGAGCCCGACGTGGCTGGTGTATGTTAGTTATTGTGCGATGCGAATCGGTAGTGAGGCAAATGATGCTTACGGGTCGAACCCACAACCTTGAGATTAAGAGTCTCACGCTCTACCGATTGAGCTAGCCGGGCAGGCTTGTTGAATGTGGTTGAAAATTTCCGAGCAGGTGCAAAGTCAAGAAGTGGCAGATTGTGTGCGGACGAGGGCACGACACGGACGTATCCACATTCAACACCAAGGGGGCCCATCGTGAAGAAGCCGGGCCCCCTTTTCGCGGATGAGCCGGCATCGGCGATTGCGGTCATAGAGGCACAAGGGATGGACGGGGAGCTATGCCGGTGGGATCCGAACGTTTGAGCCCGAATGAGTTGAGCCCGACAGTGGGCGAATCCCGCACCTCCGGCGTGGTCTTGATGTTTCGCGGAGGGGGGGGGGGGGGACCGGAACGGAGCAAGACCGCCCGGCACCCCGTCGACGTACAAAGGCAACTTCAAACCCTTCACCGCGCAGGTATACCTTCGCGAAAACATGTTTCGTCATTGTTAAGCATCCTGGCTTCGTCCTGGAAGAGCCGATCGGCTACACACATCCGTCTAATCTAGGCCACCGTGAATATACCCAGGTTCTCAGTTGCACCTCGACAGCAATCCACGCAAACACCCCAGATCACGATCCACGCACCCGGCCGCATTACCCGGCCGTCTACTCGTCGATCCTTTCCCGCACCAGAGCCCAGCACTTGCGCATCCCGGTCCCCATCGACTCCTCGTCCACCTCCACCGCCGTAGCCCACCGATGCCTCGTATGCGACGACACGTACTCCCCCGCCCCCTCCACCTCGAAGAGGTGGACATGCATCGTCAGCTTCAGGTGCGAGAACAGCCACGGCACGCTGCCGAGATCTCCGGCATGCCGCACCCTGGGGTTCGTTTTCGGCTTCTCGCCGCCGTCGCCGAGCAGACCCGACATGTACCCCTGCGCGTCCCTCTTCCTGGACGATGCGGTGTTGCTCGTCGCCGCTGGCAGCGTGTGACTGGGCAACTCCCACATCCCGGCGAGAAGCCCCTTGTCCGGGCGACGGTGAATTAGGAAACGTCCGTCGGCGCGGCGGACGGCGCAGATCAGGGCTTCTTCCTCGCGGACTGCTTTCTTGACCGCCTTCAGCGGAAACCTTTTGGCGTGGTCTGCGATGGTCTCTAGCATTTTCGCGTCGACCGCTGGCCGTTTCGGGGAGGGGGGCTCTTCCTTCTTGGCCGTCTTGGAGGAGAAGAAGGCGGACAGGGTGGCCTGCTTCGCCACTGGTCGAGATTTCGTCCCCTTCTTGGCTCCCTTGGCCGGCTTTGGCGCGTCGGCATCAGAGTCGTCCCCCGAGGCCGCTGCCTCCTCTGCCGCCTCCTCGAAGGGTTCGCATATCGAACACAAGTCCTCAATGTCCTCCACCTTGGCCGCCTTCTTCGGTTTTGCGGCCGCCACCAGGCCCTCTGCGTAGGCGCGACACGTCGACGTGACGGGACACTCGCCGCAGTTCGGCTTTGGCGTACAGAGGGTGCTCCCGAGTTCCATCAGAGCCTGTCCCCATCGCCCGGGCCGATCGCTCGTCGGCGGCTCCTCGCCCTCGGCGCCTTGATTACTAGGGCCATCCAGTGCAACGGCTTTTACAAGCGCATCAGCGGCAGCCCAGAGCAAGTCAATGACGGCCTTGTCCGTCTTCGCGTTTCCAAACACACCCAGTTGTCGACTCAGCACCCGGAGCACGTTCCCATCGACCATTGGCGCCGCCCTCCCAAACACAATCGCCGAAATGGCACCGGCCGTGTACCGCCCGACCCCCGGGACCTTGGCCTCGAGCTCCGCCGTGTCGTCCGGCATCAGGCCCTTCCACGTCGGGTCCTTGACCACCAGCTTCGCAGCCTCGTGAATCCTCGTCGCGCGGCTGTAGTACCCCAGCCCGCGCCACGCGCTCAGCACGTCCTCGGGCTCCGCCGCGGCGAGGTCCTGGATCGTCGGCCACCGCGCCATCCACCGGTTCCAGTAATCAATGACCACCGCGACGCGGGTCTGCTGCAGCATGATCTCGCTGATCCAGACCTCGTAAGCGCGCTTCTCGAGGGCGGTACGGAGGCCTGCGGCGTCAGGGGGGTCTCGCGGGTCAATCCAGGCTTTGCGCCACGGCATGCCGCGCGTGGTGCTGGTGGAGTCGAACCAGGCGAGGAGAGCGTCTCGTCCGTCGCGTCCGGGCCGGCCATCTAGGAGCAGAGGACGGTGATACGCGGCGGCGTGTGTTCTCGACGGAGGCGAGCAGGGGTCCCGCGTGGCCTGTCCAGATGGGCCGAAGAGGCTTGCGTGGAGCTTGGCAGTGTCTGCCTTTCGTGTCTTTTCCACTTTGCGCCGCTTGGGCTGCGGTTCTGCGGTTTCGTTCACTTCATCGTCGTCGACGAGAGGGGTGAAGTCCGCTTCGAACGCGTCTTTCCGCGCCGGTGGTGGTGGTGGTGGTGGTTTGGCGGCGGCTTTGCGAGTTCTTGAGATTGGTTTCAACGGCTCATCATCCGGCTCGTCGTCGGCCTGAGCCAGGATTCTTTTGGCCGCAGCAAGTGAGCTCTGTCGGCGGACAATGCCGCGTTGAATCATGGCGATTGCTGTAAGACGCGATGGGAGACGCGTCTCGGGGTGAAGGTGACGTCTGTGCCGAATTTGCGTTGACGGGCTCAACTGTCGGGACGCTGATGGCGGGTGATGGTCGGAATTTAGCGCCGACTCTGGTGTGAGGCCTCTGAAATTGCGATCGCATCAGGGGCTCAATGTCCCTGGCGTCGGGCACAGGCCACTGTAACAACGCGTAGGGCCTGACCGATCGAAGAAGAAAAAAGCAGCAAACATGTTTCCGTTCCACCTTGACTTTGTATCAATCAATCAGCTTTGTGAGACAAACATCCATGCTCTTCTCACTTGGTTTATTTATCATGTATGTTCTGGGATCCCCAAGTGTGTTGACACAAGAACATTTTGCACTGTAGAAAGAAACCCGGCAAAAACATCGGAACGAAGCTTTCATACCAGTTCACACCAAAAGAACAGGTCCTACCAGGATTCGAACCTGGGCCTACGGAAGATTCTGAGTATCATCAGAATCCGACATCCTAACCAACTAGACTATAGGACCATTCAACAACTGTGGTTGTTGAAGAGATTGTCGATTTCGCCGTTCATCGAGCCTGCGCAAGCGATGCTGCAAACGACAGGAGGCCATTGCATAGAAAACAAGATAGATTAAGCTCTATAGTATTTAGATTCGCGCGTACAGGCTTCTAGAAGCTGTTACCGAGGCGCTAGATGTCTCGGTTGGTGTGTCGTAAACTCTAACCGAAGTGCATCGCTACACACGAGACCCCCAACTTACTCGGACCAGCCGTCGCCGGCGCACGTCATCCAGTTGACGCCGACCAGCTTCAGCCCATGCTTCTCGGCAAACTCGGCAGGCTTCCATGACCGCCTCTGAACAAACTCCTCCCCGCCAACGTCCTCCTTCTTGAGATGCAGACCCTCGGGCTCCCGGTAGAGCAGGAAGAGGTAGCGGTGCGGCTTGGAGCTAGGGGAGGCAGTCAAAGTCAGCGTCTCGTCGAATCACGTCTACCATTGGCCCAGAGCAACTCAATGGGAGGTGTACGACAAACTCACTCATCCTTGGGCCCGGGTCCGAGAAACTCCGTCAGCGCCGGCTTCGTCTGCGCGACCACGGCGCCCCCGCTGAGGGGCTGCAGCCCGGGGAGAACCCAGTGGCGCCAGAAGGCGAACTGCGGGTTGTCGGGCGTGGGCGCGTCCGGGTCCGTCAGGAAGAGCGTGTAGGATGCGCTCGACGACGCGTCGGCCTCGGCGGCGAACGAGATGCTCGGCGCGACCTTGCACTCGCCCGCGCGGAAGAAGTTGCCGGCGTCGACGGCCTTGCCCGCGAATGACACCTCGAGCTTCGTCGTCGGCTTGAAGCCCTCGGGGATGAGGGCCGCCGCCGAGCCGGGCACGAGCTTGGCTTGCTCGAGCGAGCTGGTGAGCTTTTGGGTATGGTCGGAGAGCGACATTGTGCGAGGGATTGCTGTGAGGGATGAGGAAATCGGCCCAGGTGAAGAACGTCGAGGAAGGACTTCCGTCGCGTTGAAGAATGATTTGTACGATCGCGTGCGGGCGGTTTTAACCCGAAGATGGAATGCTCGATGACCTACGCGGGGTTAGGCGTGGCATGAGGGGGGATTGATACCAGTGGTGGAAAATTGCCAGCTTTGCTGCACCAAGGGTCTTGGCAGATATAAGGGTGCTCGTCCGGACAAAAGCTGATCAACCGAGGATAAGAACAAGTGTCACTGAGGTAACAATGCCACAGTTTTGCCAAGCAAAGACTGAAATATCACATTGTCAAGTGCGAGGCAACAGACATGCAAGGCTCCAATGGTGAGATCATCATGACATTAGGACTGATGATCTGCTACATTGAAGCCGGAGGTCAGATAACCCATGCTTTACTTCAGTCGAATTATGGAAATTGAGGCCATTCCAGCCACCGATGAAGTACACAAAGACAAATTCCACTAGCTCATTCTCTCATACTATGGCTGTTTTGTCGTTGGCGAAGAAATAAAAGGTTTATAGACCATGCGCCCATCAACACGGACTGACATGTTCTAGTAGACCCATGTACGACATTGGTATGAGAACCTCCTCCAGCTCTCTAGCTCAAAGGCGCTTTGCTCTAGGTTGCCAAACTGCGCTGACTAAATTTGGCAACGGTCTCTTGACTTGACCTCGACGCCGTTCTAGATACTTGATACTCTCAGGTTAAGTGGGACTGGGACATGATTGTGTGAACGACTGCGTTGTCTCCATCACCCTATCAAATGTCCAACCGCAGCCCATACATACTGCGAGTGAGTTGTATTTGTTGAGACAAGTCAGTGACGCGTGAAGCTGGTATCTTGATTGCCCGTCTACGGGGATTCACAACGACTTTGAGATGGAGCTTCCCACGCTACGGTCCATGTTCTGTCTGTGTGACCATGTGTTGAATTCAGGGTCTCAACAATCAATGCATTTTGCTGCATTAACGCCACCATAGTTGTTACAACACAAGAACTGATGGGCTTGA